CCCCCACCCCCGCGACTCTGCCTTTCCCATCGCTTACTGGGATTACTTTGGACCGCTGCTTCAAATGATCCTTCACGGTATTTTCACACTGACCTGATTACAAAAGAAGGTGCTAATGAGGTGAAAATAGCAAGAGGAAGTCCAAAACCCACAAAGTATGGCCAGTTAGATTCCACGTACATGAGGCGCTTGGGTGCGGTCCATCCTAGAAATACGAAAGAAAGACCCTTTTCATAAATGGCTACCAATAATAAAATCCCTTCTTAAGTATTATAATTAACCTTACTGACCTCGTTTTTGGTTGACAATTCAATAGAAGTTTTACCCTCAAAGGAGGTTAGCAGGGCTTATTTAAATGAATTGAAAAGAATTTTAATATAAATTTGACCTGGTTAGAGTTTATTTTTATTAGTAATGCCTCTGTCACTTAAAGGGTTAACAACAACACAACAGAGTAAAGCTTACCCATATTCACCCATTTGTACTCAAAAGTGTAAAGTGAATACAGAAGACACATATGTCCTAGACTGATAAGAGGTCCCAGGATAGGAAGAAAGCTCACAACCATGGCCTGAAAAACAAAACAGGAAAATTTGCAAGCAGGTACCTAACCAACCATAGTTTGCTAAATCATATTTTATTGCTGTACTCAGTTATTGGTTCACAGAATTAGTCTCATGGGTCAAGGAATACTCCGACCAATCAAAACAAAGTCTCCCCAGCCAATCAGATGCAAAAGCCTTTTGAATTTGAGGCCTTTTCTGCCCTTGCCAACCATCAATACATCAGGAATATGAAGCTTTGCCCTCCTTTGATCGGCCATATGAATCGGCCAAATGACAATTAATATGAACAGCAATATTCAAGGCTCTGTTTGGTTTAATGGCGAGAGAGGTGCAGTGGCCTCATGGTTAGTGCACTTGTCCCCAGATCGAGCGGTCTGGGTGTGAGCCCTAGCCGGGGATACTGTGTTGTGTTCTAGGGCAAGACACTTAACTCTCACGGTGCCTCTGTCCACCCAGGAGTATAAACAAAAAGCGAATTGTTGGGGAAACCTAACAAATTGTGGGGGAGTGACCTGCAATGGACTAGCATTCCGTCCAAGGGAAGTAGAAATACTCCTAGCCACTTCATGCTACAGAAGCCAGGATAAGCTCCGGCAGCTATGAGCCTGTCGGCTCCAAGGCTTCACTTTTGGTTTAAAAGCAGTTTCAAAAATTGAAGATGTGTGTAGCAAAAGTTGCCGGCAAGCAGAAACTTAAATTCTTGATACCTTTTTTGCAAACACAAACTGGAGTAAATTTCACAGTCAAAATGCCAAAGGCCTCAAACTTTACATCTTGCCACAGTAAATTGTCTAAAGTTTTTTAAATGAAAGAAAATCCAGACCACAACACTTAACGGACACCAAGGTTGCAAATGTAGAAACAGTCATATAGATCAAGAGAATCTTTTTTTACCTGAACAAGAAAGAACATCTGAAGTAAGAAGCTAAAGAAAAAGTCTGCTACTGTTTTGCTAACATGTGATGACAAACTGAGAAAGGAATGAAAAAAGAAACTATGATTATAATAATATTGTAAACCAATTACAGCTTAATTATAATCATCAGTTTTCAAAGAGTTTTTTCTGTCAATCAATCAATCAACTTTATTTGGCACTGTTTTTCCTTACATAAATCACTTGACCTTACAATTGCCTATCTAGTGGCAGGATGATCATAACAAGTTCATAGACGCTTTTCAGAGGAGGTCACCCAAGCAGTAAACCCAATTTTGACACTTTATTGTCAATGAAACTGTTATCTGGTACCATGGGTCCAGAATCCATCTTGAGAGATATAAAATTTTATTAGTGTCAGAATACACAGATATTTACCTTTCTCTTCCAAAGGAAGCTAAGAATCCAAGAGGTCTTCCTCTTGTAGTACGATAAGCAGAATCAGCAATTTCCTAAAAAATAAGAAACAACATATTAGATGACTATTTTCCAAATGCCGTTTAACAACATGTTTACGTTTTTTCCATTTTATTTATTTTTTTCACTCTAAATTTTATCATGTTATTTATAGTGATTCACTACTAAGGCAACAATTTTAAAACAATCCATTTTCAGCTGCAGTCATTGAGAAACCTCTGAGTCTCACATCAGGCTCACTTGCACTTACCAGTAATATAAGTACTCTTACTCCTCAGAGGGGTACTTTATAAATCTTTGGGTAGAGTTGTGCTGATGGGATACTGAAGCCTTCACCCTATACTAGACCATAATAAGTTTGATTTTGCACCCCTATTCTAGACTAGGCACCAATAACTCCTACTGTATCACAGACTAGCTATATTTTCAATATGGAGAAACTTTACCACTATTGTAGTCGAATATATGTTAATTAAACCAATATCTTACAAATTCACTTCCGAGTTTCAATTTCTATTAAGACTCCGGGTAAAGAACCCTGTTCTAGGCTAAATTATTTATCCACTAGCCACTTTCCCGGTAAATTATAGCCCATTCTAGAGCAAAACTGTCTGATTTCTATACCCTATCCCAGACTAAACTGCCTGAAAACCATAACCATCACAGAAAAAAAGAAATACCCATCACAGCACCACATACCTACATAGCTTATGTATTGGAGTAACCCCGGGTCATACTCTTAAAGAAACAGAGCCTTACATGGGTGTAGAAAGAGACTGTGATAGTAGAGTGTTGTGCCCAAGAACAGTTATGTACTGACCACTAGCTGCCTGGGAGATCCCTCAAACCAGAGTCTGTACCCAAACTGGCCTTCACTCCTCACATGATCAAACTGGTTAAAGAGCCTGTCAAGTCCTACTTATAGCCTATACTTCTCACTCAAACATGTGACATACAGATTTCACATGACATTTACCTGATACCATAATGAGTTGAGTGGTTTGCTCAGCCAGTAAAGAGGCAACACCCAAAAAGCACTGAACAAATATGATAAGAAAGGTCCCATCCATCTCCATAACCAAAGACTCTGCTGAGGATTGCCTCTACTAAGCACATCTAGGAATAAAATAGCACATTGTGAAATAAAAATTGTCACAAGACGTTTTGTCAAGCACTGACTTACCCCTACAATAATGCTTTGCAATAAATCCAAAACTGCATTATGTCTGCAATAATCCAGGATAAAGTTTTTGAAAACCTTGCTGAAAATGAGTATCAACAATGCCCATTTGGTAATAATGATACCGTGTAATTCAAATGATAACCTCATACTATTGCCTAGTTCAAACAAGTAGTAATTGACTGGAGACTGACTTGTACAATTAATGGTCACCTGAATACTTCAAATAATTAATTGGAAGTAAACGTGTACACAGAGACTAAAATAATTGCCAAAATAGCATTTGCCAAGTTTCCAAACTACAAACTATCAATAATTTATTGGCTACACTGCAATTGTCTCTAATAAATATACTAGTTGAAGAAAGAATATTTTGTAGTGTTTATCAGAATAAGGTGCATCTGTGGCTATAAAGGCACTCATAACATAAACTCCCTCAATTGTTAGGACCTTTTATTTGAGAGGGAGACTTGAAAAAAAAAAAAGAGGGCACTAAAACGAATCATTGCAGTATTCCATATTTTTTTCCACTATTACATGCTCTTAATTACATACAATCAACAATCTTGTGTTACCAAATGCATTGTCTATGGAGTTGGCGTCAAAACAACCCTACATAAAGCAATGACTTAGAAAATAGAAGGAAAAATAAAGGTATACTTACTGAATATAAAATAAGTGAGGTTCTGAAGTCCAGGAATGATATAATTCTCAAAAAGGAAAATACTCATCTAAGGAAAAACAGTTAGAGACAATAAGCACAGGTGACAGGTCCTAGATGTTGGATTAACCACTAGATTCTCAGAGCTGTCATTCATAGGAATGTATGCCAAGATGTAAGAAGAATCTTGGTACTGCAAACAGGTTTAAAAGGATAAAATACTTATTGAGAGAGTATGAGGTTGGCAAGGTTAGTTAACTGCAATGTACCCATTCAATCCATGTTGGTATGTGTTTCATAATCTTCTGTCAGTGAACCAGTTGCTGGTGTTATTGTGTCATGGATTTTCACTAGGTCGTCTCTTAGATGCTCATCTCCCTCTTGAAAACAGGCATTCCCCAAATGCCAATTCCCATTCCAAGTGCAATGTGAGGGTTGTAATTTTTGTTAACCAAGAGACTGTAAAGTATTATCCTAGTTAATCAAGGTGATTTTAAGATCAAGAAAGGCCAATGCAAAAAAACATATTTACCATGTCAGTAGAACAAGAAGGGAGAAATTATGCTTGGTTAACAGACAAGCACTCCGCAGGGACCTCAGCAGTTCAAGAGTTAAGCTATCTTATTCTCACTCCATTTCACTTCCCCCCCC